AGAGTGTAAGCTCCTCTGGTGATGTGCATAGATCCATGTGCTCTGTAATATGGGGTCAGTGGGTCATACGAGGTCTTTATGTTGGTAGTAATACAGAAGGTTCTGCAGCTCTGAGCTGACAATTCCTCGCTATTGTTCATGTTCTTCTCAGGGGGTTCACCTTCTCAGGGGGTTCACCTTCTCAGGGGGTTCACCTTCTCTGGGGGTTCACCTTCTCAGGGGGTTCACCTGTCAGGGGGTTCACCTTCTCAGGGGGTTCACCTTCTCAGGGGGTTCACCTTCTCTGGGGGTTCCCCTTCTCAGGGGGTTCACCTGTCAGGGGGTTCACCTTCTCAGGGGGTTCACCTGTCAGGGGGTTCACCTTCTCAGGGGGTTCACCTGTCAGGGGGTCCCGGGATGGTTATGAAGTGTCGGGTCGGTGATGGCGTCTTATCACTGTCCCGGTAGCTGGGGATAAATATGTACAATGGCTGGAGAAGTAACCAGCATGTGGCCAGTGTGACGTCTCTGCTGGTATTAGAAGCCTCGGCCACTCTGGTGACTCTCATTGGGGTCAGCGGGGTCAGCGGGGTCACCCCATCACTAAGTCCTACAGAAGTGGTTGTCCCAATGGTGATCAGTCCTTACCTTCCAGCGTGGAACGCAGTCTCCGGGCTTCCAATGGCCCCCCACTTTTATGGCGTCTTTAGCAAAGAGTTGCTGGATGTCCCTCATCTGCACTTCCGTCATGTTCACCTCCATCCGGCCTTCTAGATGGGGGAATAATGATACAGAGGAGAGCACCCCGATATTACCAGCGCCCCAATATAGAGAGCACCCCGATATTACCAGCGCCCCAATATAGAGAGCACCCCAATATTACCAGCGCCCCAATATAGAGAGCACCCCGATATTACCAGCACCCCAATATAGAGAGCACCCCAATATTACCAGCACCCTGATACAGAGGAGAGCACCCCGATATTACCAGCGCCCCAATATAGAGAGCACCCCGATATTACCAGCACCCTGATACAGAGGAGAGCACCCCGATATTACCAGCGCCCTGATACAGAGGAGAGCACCCCGATATTACCAGCACCCTGATACAGGGGAGAGCACCCCGATATTACCAGCACCCTGATACAGAGGAGAGCACCCCGATATTACCAGCACCCTGATACAGAGGAGAGCACCCCGATATTACCAGCACCCTGATACAGAGGAGAGCACCCCGATATTACCAGCACCCTGATACAGAGGAGAGCACCCCGATATTACCAGCACCCTGATACAGAGGAGAGCACCCCGATATTACCAGCACCCTGATACAGAGGAGAGCACCCCGATATTACCAGCACCCTGATACAGAGGAGAGCACCCCGATATTACCAGCACCCTGATACAGAGGAGAGCACCCCGATATTACCAGCACCCTGATACAGAGGAGAGCACCCCGATATTACCAGCACCCTGATACAGAGGAGAGCACCCCGATATTACCAGCACCCTGATACAGAGGAGAGCACCCCGATATTACCAGCACCCTGATACAGAGGAGAGCACCCCGATATTACCAGCACCCTGATACAGAGGAGAGCACCCCGATATTACCAGCGCCCTGATACAGAGGAGAGCACCCCGATATTACCAGCACCCTGATACAGAGGAGAGCACCCCGATATTACCAGCGCCCTGATACAGAGGAGAGCACCCCGATATTACCAGCACCCTGATACAGAGGAGAGCACCCCGATATTACCAGCACCCTGATACAGAGGAGAGCACCCCGATATTACCAGCACCCTGATACAGAGGAGAGCACCCCGATATTACCAGCACCCTGATACAGAGGAGAGCACCCCGATATTACCAGCACCCTGATACAGAGGAGAGCACCCCGATATTACCAGCACCCTGATACAGAGGAGAGCACCCCGATATTACCAGCACCCTGATACAGAGGAGAGCACCCCGATATTACCAGCACCCTGATACAGAGGAGAGCACCCCCATATTACCAGCGCCCTGATATAGAGGAGAGCACCCCGATATTACCAGCACCCCGATATTACCAGCACCCTGATACAGAGGAGAGCACCCCGATATTACCAGCGCCCTGATACAGAGGAGAGCACCCCGATATTACCAGCACCCTGATATAGGGGAGAGCACCCCGATATTACCAGCACCCTGATATAGGGGAGAGCACCCCGATATTAGCAGCACCCTGATATAGGGGAGAGCACCCCAATATTACCAGCACCCTGATATAGAGGAGAGCACCCCCATATTACCAGCACCCTGATATAGGGGAGAGCACCCCAATATTACCAGCACCCTGATATAGAGGAGAGCACCCCCATATTACCAGCACCCTGATATAGAGAGCACCCCCATATTACCAGCACCCTGATACAGAGGAGAGCACCCCGATATAGGGAAGAGCACCCCGATATTACCAGCACCCCGATATAGGGGAGAGCACCCCAATATTACCAGCTCAGCGCCTCTACATACACAAGAAATCATGTCATGTTTGCAGCGCTGGTTCTCCGGGGTTAGTATCACATTCATATCATTGGGTAAGATTGGATTTTCGGGGCCTCATGAAGACTGGGAGGGGATCAGACCGGCACCCTACAGGGCACTGATCCCCGACTTACTCATGAACGGGAGGCGCTCCGGGCACTGCAGATGTGGCAGGTAGGTGAAGTCTTCGGGGAGGAACGTCTGAATGTAGGAGTCATTGCTGAAGTAGATGCGATAGTCTGCAGGAAAACAGAGGAAAGGAGATCAGGAGGTCCCATATACAGGACATCAGAGGTGACACCTCCCCCGGG